CTACCTAGCAGAGCCATGTGCAAAATACACATGGGATTAAAGAACAGGTGTGCCTCTGAACACATTCTGAGTCTAGAAATTGGTTTTCAGCTTCAGAATTCAACTGAGATCATAGTCTTGACACACAAAGGCCTGCTCCTTTCTTCAACCTAATTTAGGTAGCCAAAGTCATTTTGTTGCTGCTACTATTAAAATATTGAGAATTAGAAAGCCACACTTAGCTACCCTGCAAATCAGAAAAATCTCTACCCTTTGCCCATCCCTGATCTAGAGATCCAATGGTTCAAACAATAGAACATTGTTGCCTAACAGGGCTAAACCATAATGCATCTAATCCAGAGGCCATTCACTTGCCCCTGGGAAATGTGAAAATTACGTTTGTGAAGGATATTTGGTGTAGGACTATAGCTGAGTGGTAGTGCGCATTCTTTGCAGTTGGAAGTCTACAGGTTCAATCCCTAGCACCTCTAGATAGGGCTGAGAAAGCCCACTGTGTGAATACCCCAAGGAAGCCACTGCCCATTTGTATGAACAGTATTGATGGTCTGATGGTATAAGGCAGCTTCCTATGTTACTGGCATATTGTATTCAGAGATATACTGCTCCTGTTCATGGAGTTTCCACATTAGCTACATTGTGACCAATAGCTATTGAGGAATACCCTCCCCATGAATGTATCCATTTTTTTAAAAACCCACCTAATCTAGTGGCGCTTCCCCCATTTTACGGAGGCCTGAGTTACATATTATGTCCTTTTAATTGTCCTGAAGTGACACAAGTCCACTTTTTCTGGGTTCCAATATTATGAGAGAAGGAAAACAATTAAGTCTCTATCCACACTCTTGACCCTGTCCATAAACCTTATAAACCTGTAAAATCATGAAATGTCCGAATTTCCTATCCCTCTCCTCCCAGAAACAATAAGATACTAAAGGGGTGGGGATGAGCAGAGGAAAAAAACACAAGTTAATGCAACTTGTATGGGTTCTTTTCTATCCCATCCCACATTTGCAGGCCTTCATAAACCAAACCATTGCCTTTACTTGTTAGCACCAGATGAAGAATTCTTCTGAGAGGGAGACAACTCAGAAGAAGGAGAGAGAGAGAGAGACCAATATAATTATTATTTTGAATTTAGACCTCCCCCCTATTTTAAGAACAGTAGCACATTCTTTTATGAATGTGTTCCTTTTTATTTGGGGATGCATGCGTGTGCGCGCACACACACAATATCACAACACTGGCATTTCATGAAATGCCAGTGTTGTGATGACAGCTTAGTATGGACATTTATTCTGGTGCCTCCTGCCAAATCCTACCAGCCAGCACTTCTCCTTCATAGGAAGATGCCATCTCTTTTATACCTTGCTTATTATAACCAAGTACCCAGAGTTACCCGGCTGGTCGCCGGTGCTAGAGAAGCTAGAATTCTGAGCTTTGATTGAACCCTGTATGTCTGATTCGGTTGCCGGATGGCCATTCTTCTGTTCACCCTTCACAATCCCATTTATGGCGAGTTTTTTCTGCATATTAGCCGACCGATCCCGAAGCAGCACCTACTTCTTGTGAGTTTAGGATCCTTGCGCGCCCTCCTTCACCATGATGGGACCAATCGTAAAGGCAGAGTATCCTGTGCATGCTTGATCGGGCTTTGGTGGTCCCCTGCCAGGCTCACATTGACTTGGGAGAGACGCGAAGTGACTGAAGACAAAAGGCATTGCTGAAAACAACCGCAGTTAACCTTTGAAACAAGCCTCGCCAAGAGAGTTTTGTAAATAGAGGAGATAAGAAAAGGGCGATTAATAGAATTTTAGATTAAAGGCTTCTTAGCCTGCCAGAGCCAAATATTATACTAGTGAAGAGTGCATTGATTCCAAGTTCTCCCAAACCATGGGCAAGGCAAATATCCCCCCCCCCCCTCTTTCCAGTGTCCTCCGGTGTTTCTTACCTACGTGGGGATGCCGCTACTGACACCACCCGACCCACAGAGCGTTTCCTGGCCTCCATTAGCCCCTCCGCCCGCGGCCTATTTCCGAATGCTAGAGGGTGTCGTGCCCCAAACAAACTAGGGGCACCCCTAAAAACGACAGTTTTTTCTCTTCCATATAACAATAAGGCAGCCTTTAGGTTCCATAACGTAGCATAATGTTTAGGCTTTAAGAGGCATCGTCACAAAGAATTATTTCAACAGTTTTTACACACTTGAACCGGAAGACTGGAAGCATTCGGGCCCAGCACAACTTTTGTAGACTCTTTCCTTCTTCTCTCTCGCTCTGAATGTACAATCTGGATTTATTAGCCGCTCCACATACACGGTCGTCTGCTATATGTGTGTGCAAGCGTTTGTGCATGATATACATAAATATATATTATTGTATGCGTAGAATGTGCATGTCTGCAACCGAAGTAAAACAGAATATTTATGTTTCCAAACGTTGGAATCATTTCGCTTTATGCATGCCTTCGAAAAATGAGCAAGGATTTATAACCACCGTCTATAGTCAGATCTGCCTATTTGTCTGTCTATCCGTCCATCTATGGCCCTTTGCTTAACATGCTTATAAAATGTGCCCATAAAGAAAGACACCTCCTCCACCACCACCTTTCATCCACCCATCCAAACCCAGCCAACACTGGCGTTATCATCCGCCCAGAAGGACACAGCAGGCATCCGATCCCGCGGATTGTGCTCTGGCCCTACCAAGGAGCTAGAGGGGAGTCGCTTCCGAGCCTGACTTCCTCCTCGAATCCTCCCGAACGGCACCTCTAATAAATATTTAAAGAAGCCCTCCTAAAATGTTTACTCGCGAGTTTGCCTTTTCTGCTCAAAGCTAGGTCACGACCCCGAATTTGGACAGCAGAACAAAGAGTCGGTTGACGAGGGAACGCGCGTCTTGTTGTTGGGCAGCGACATCATCTCGGGGTGATTGTTTGGAGCAGCAGGTTAATTTACTTGTTTGGCAAGAACTCTAAAGTCTGGAAGCAGAACTTTTAGCCAGGGTCTGTCGTGATGGAGGGATGCCTGGAAATCCTCCCTTCTTTTGAGATTACTGAGAATGCTTGTGTATTTGTGTATGTATGTATGTATGTATGTATGTAATATTGTAGATAGATAGGTATTTTAAAAAATAGAAGGAAGGGAAAGACCTACTTTAATTAATTAGTAGTTCTATCTGCAGATAGGTATTTTAAAAAATAGAAGGAAGGGAAAGACCTACTTTAATTAATTAGTAGTTCTATCTGCAACTAACAAAAACTATCACATGGCATGGTAATAACAGAGTCACTGGACAGTTGGTTCTTGAACCTTTTATATAAAAGCTACTTTCACTAAAGTCATTGGGACTTACTACTAATAATATTGAGGGACGGGGCACTGGTCATATTGGAGGGGAACGATAGGGTTTTCTTCTGAGTAAAGAGGGATAGGATCAGGTTGCACTTGCTTCTACTTGAGAGTAATACCCGCGTACACCTCAAAGTTGATTCCGCTGATAGCAAGCAGGACCTGCTTGGGAATAAAATGTGGAGGACGTAACGCCTCCAAGGCTGTTCAGCTGGCGGGTCTTGGGATTGGGACATTGCACCCTGAATCTTAGATACAGGAGAGCGTGGACCGGGCAGTTCTGCAATTCTCCCAACATCTGCTCTAGCATACAACAAATGCCCCTTTATCGGATCAGGCTTACTGCCATGCAAGAGTGTGGAAGATTGCAATTCCATTTAATTTATAGTAGATTTGGGCTTTCTAGATCCCTCGCATTTTATTTAAGACATGGCTGACTGCATCCTCAGACTACGTTCAAAACATCTTAGCAGAAACAAGCCTACAAACCTAGAAACCTTAACCTGGGAGTAAGTCCAGCCTCATTGAACTCAGCGGGTCTTACTTCCGAGTAACCATGGATCGGCTCCGGCTCTGCATCCCTTGGAACTTACCTCCAAGGAAGTTTGGGGCAGGGTATACCAATCCACCATTCTGAATGGTTTGTAATGAGAAACGTGACATTATTTAAAATGGGTATGAAAGTCTAAGTCTCCTCTCAGGCTCTTCTGCAAGTCCTTGGTCTCCCTTAAGGTTGCATTCGGCTTACTAGATAGCTATAGCGTCGTCTTTAAAGGCTTCAGTCCTAAATCCTATTGAAGTACATCGAACAGCCATGAGTCAGACTGCAAGGGAACAGCCAGGTCATTCTGTGGGTCTTCTGCAGCGCATGAAATGTGTGTGTGTGTGTGTGTGTGTGTGTGTGTGTTATTTAGGTTGGATCCCTTCAAAATACACATGGTAATCTGTCTGCCTGCTATGGATAGTCATCGCCAACTTGTCTCCCCAGTTTAAGAAATTGCAGTTTTCAGGCAATTCTCTCTCCACCCCCCCGCCCCGCCACAAGTAGTGATCGCAATTGCATTTTGTTTCCATTTGGTTTCATTACATTTTCTAAAGCTTTGCGTTTGGGAATTTGCCTCTGTGTAAAAACTTCCAAAGGGAACAGATCCAAAAGCTGCCTTCAAAGTTGTATAAAATTTATTCAGCAGCTTTTTTTTTTTTTTTAAAGTGCGAAGTTAACAGCTCTCTTTGCAAGGGCCTTTGCGAGCGACCGTATATCTTCCTCCTGTCTCTTGAAAGCGATCTCTGGGTATGGAGTTGCCTGGATTAGCCCCTGGCTCTGCGTGGAGCAGGCGCTATCTCGGAGGGGAGCAGAATGAAATGTGCTAAGCGGTTCAGATCCTGGGGATGAAAAGGAGTCTTGGTTTGTACACGTCTTTAATGGCTGGCAGTGTTTATTTCCAGAATAATTGGGGAGGGGGTGTTGGGTGGACGGGAAGGTTGCGTGTGAATTTAAAAGGGACGCTCCGGCAGCAGACGCAGAAGAAGGGAAGTGAGGTTGCGATTCCAAGCGAGACTTATTCCTAAGAAAAAGTTGCTCTGTGAAATCGGAGGGGCAAAGTTATGGAAGTTTTGTACTGTTGATAAACCTCAATGGGACGTTAACTACTAAGGGGGGGGGGATATAGGGGAACGATCCCTGACAGAAATAGGGGCCGATACTAGGAACTTCTACTCTGAAGGAAGTCCCGTCGACTTCAGTTGGACTCCACCTTCAAACAATTGTACCTTGCAGAGCAATCCTGTGTATGCCTACTCAGAAGTAAGCCCCCCTGAACTCAGAGAGGCTTACTCCCGGGTAAGTGGGCACAGGAGTTGCCGTCTTACTCGCTTTTAAAGCTCTGTGATTTCAAGAGGAGAAAGGGCAAGTGGATCGATTTCTCCCGCTGAGACCCTATAAAACTTAAAAGGTGTTTAATCGCGGCTCTTAATGTTAGGAACAAGGCCATGCGTATGTATGGATAGATGATAGATAGATAGATATAAAAGTTTTTGACACAAAGATCCACAATTCAGTAAAGCCTAAAGTCTGGCTTCTGGCTTCCTCTTTAAAACCGGATTGTAGACCTCAACCCAACGCAAAGCTTGAGGGGTTTGGGGTTTCTGTGAATGGGGGGCAAGGAGTAATTAATGTTTGACTGATTAAAATCCTCATGTTGCGGCTTAGCTGGATTGTGGATCGCGCCGCTTGCAGAAAACACACAATATCTACCCGCCGCCGCACCACATTTCCGGGACCGACAAAAAGGTTGCATCACGGCCAGGGCTTTAAACCTTAGCAAAGAATACGTAGAAAGCAATATATAAACATATTGAACAGCACGATCATTGAACGCAAATCGGTCTGAAGAGTCTCCTGCCCTATATATTTATATTGGACCAGACCGAGGAACGCTGGAGAAGGTCACGGTTCTCTCTCCTTAGCTTCCCACCCCCACCCCTCTTTTCCAGGCTTGTTATTAAGAAAGCGCCTTGTTGGTTCCTTCCACTAGATATTCTCCAACCACACCCGAAGAAATACGGCCGTTCTCGGGTGGTGGTGGTGGTGGGAATGTTTATTCTCCGAGGGCAAAAAGCACAGAGGCGCGTTTCTGAAACGTAAGCAGTTCTCTTCTATCTGGAAACCATCTTGCTGGGCACGAGACAACTTCTTCCTAAAATGGGTAGAAAAATAATAATCTCGGGATCCGCATCAGGATAGCTCAAGGGGAGATAAATCACGAGAGGTTTGTGTTATTTGTGTGGGGCCGGGTGTGTGTCTATGTATGTTTACCTGTCGGTATCCATGGCTGCATGCATTCGCTCCTCAGCGTGGATAATAGATGTTTCCCAGCCCAAACTCAGATTTCAGACATTCTGCTCCTCAGTCCTCTTAACACGTTTCCTGGAAAGTAACCCCATTTATTTCCAGAGAACTTACTGCCGGGTATGCGTGCATCCGGATCTTGAAGCAGAGTATTGTGGAAAACCCGCCCCTTTACTTTCCAGCGAGGCTTAGGCTAGACTCCTACACCAGCTTTACCTGGGAGTAAGCCCCATTAAACTTGGTGGGATTTGCTTCTAAGCAGGCAGTTGTTCCACTCGGTTTGGTTAGCACTGAGGTAGCCCTTCTCCCTGCTTGGAATGGAGCAGGAGCAGGATCATGGCCCTTGACTTACACGAGGCTGAAAGATGGTTATTAGATGGCATTGAAACCTATGAGATTCTACGGTGTTTAGGACAGGATTCCGCACTTTTAGCGTGATGGATCAGGCCGTGTGTATTTGGGGTTTCTTCAGACGTTATGTTAGGGTCTTCTCAGGACACGATCCTCCTTGACTTAAGCATTTTAAGTTGCTTGGTGTCAATGCGGGAGTGAAACTCTCTCAATGCCTAATTTTTCCTGCCTGAGCTCATTTCCTGATTGAGTTAGTAGATATTCTAAGTTACTGTTATTATTTTAAAATAGACCCTCCTCTATATTTTCCACATAAGCTATTTCCACCCACCTCTGGGAAGATGATAAAAGTGAGAGGTCTCCACTCCTGTGTATGTGTGCGCCATTTTTACAGTAGTTTTCACCACAAATCTAGCGTACCTGGCCTGGATCCACGGAAACTTTTATTATTTTAAAAAAATCGATCCAATAATTTCGGCTTAAATGTATCAATCCGTGTGCTCAGTATTGCTGGAGGAGCATGGTCTATTTGTGTGGGTACTGTTGACTACATAGCATAGGTGACCAAACTCAAAAGGGTATAGATATGTTTGTATGACATGATGTAATTGTGCCAGAGTGTCTGTGCCTCAATGTACAGATGCCTATTTGTATATGTGTGTGTGCATCTCCACTGAAGGTCATTTATGCCTGTGTGTCTACCGTCTAGGTGTATATTTGAGGGCATAAACCTGCTAAATGAAAATAAATTGGGAGCTGCAGCTAATTTGTACATGATTAGAGCCCTAACTGGTTTGTGATTCTTCCTTCCTTTTGAATTTTAGATTGGATTGATTTGTTCATTTATTAAAATATGCATATATCACCTGTTAGGCCAACATTTCAAGGAGGTGTACAGTAGTATTATAAAAGGCAATGTCCGTGTACCTATACCTATACAATTTACATCAAGCCCAGTCAGTCAGCATTCTACAGCTGCTTAGCAAAGAAATGACCACAGCCAGGCCAACAAGGACATTTTAGAGAGTATCAATGTTGGTGGCTGCCTTAGTTCTGGAGAGAGGCCATCCCAGAGTTTGGATGCCATGCAGAACAGGCCTTCTTGCTGGTTGTTGCCAGATGGCCATCTGCAGGCTGAGCCACAACCTGGAAGGCCTTTGATGATGATTTCCGTAACTGGGAAGATCTGCATTGGTAACCTGGTCTCCAACTGCTTAGGATCTTATACGCTCTATTAAAACCTTAAACCTAACCTGGTAGCAAACAGGTGTACTAGTAGGTATGTCTACCTGAGAGAGGCCTGCAGGGCACAAACATGCATTTTCTGTTGTGCCTGTGTGTTACTGCTAGCTGGTATCACAACCATAGATACCACTTGTCACCACAATCCGAGGCATACTTTCTTAGATGTAAGCGGTTCCTACATGTACTACTATATCAACATTTGATTAGCATGCATTTCTGATACATGGTAAGTGAAAGTGTGAACTGACTATTGAAAAGTATTGTGTTTAAGGTAGCCTGGGGAGAATGGGGAAAGTTCTGTTTGGCGTGTGATATCTATAGTGGCCATTCACACACAGGAGGCAACACCAGATGTTTCAGACTTTGAGTGAACCAGTCCTATGATGTGTGATAGGTTGTGTGAACTAGCCTTAAGGCCCTTCCACAAAGGCGTGGGTCTCCCCTCCACATGTCACAGAATCATGGAGTTGGAAAGGATCATCTGGCCCAACCCCTGCAATGCAGATGTCCTATAGGGGGATAGGACCAGCTACTTTGGTGTTATCAGCACTACGCTCTAACCAACTGAGCTATCCAATTATCTTTTCCCTTCTGCTTGGATCAAGGACTGCAAAGAACAATTCATACTTGAAGAAAATCCAGGGCAAAAATTCCGCAGTGTGGATGGGCTAGAGTTGCTCCTTAACCCCTCACTTAAAAATAAATACTGCTAGGAAGCCAATGCCATTGGAACTAACTTTCTCCCGTGTCCAGGGGTTCCAGGTTCAAACCCATTCCCTGTGTGCCATTCAACCTCAGTGGTCCTGAGTACCAGTTGGGCACGAGTGCCTTTGGATCCAGTGGGCTGGCGTTTCACCCCTCTAGCCACCTCTTCCCAAAAAGTTCTCATGGACATCAGGAGGATGTGCCTATGAAAACTTACTGGGCCACGTTTTGCAAGGATCGCGTGACGTTCCGTGGAGGTTTGGCTTGGCCCGCGTTTGTCACGGAGAGGGAATTCCTTGCAAGACTCCTCGGGAACGTCTGGCAGAGTCGAGCTCTAAAAATCAAATGTCTGGCTGCAGATGTTTGGGAAGAGAGACACTCGCCCCTCTTCCCCTCCGCGTGGTGTGCTGAATCAAGCACAGCTCCAGGGCCTGCGATCGCATGGCCTGTACATGCTTCTTCCTTCCTGTGCGAGTGCGATTGCTATGCTATGTGCGCGCCTGCGTCTATCTATATCTTTTTAGATCGGTCGATCGAGATAGATAGATAGATAGATAGATAGATGATAGATAGATGGCATGGGACTTTTTTGGGTGAAGAGAAAAAGAGAGAAAGAGAGGGAGGTAAACAACTCTTCTTCCTTCTAAACAGTGAAGCCGGGGAAGACCACACGTCCACAATCTAACTTGTTACATTAAATATACTACCTCCCACACAGACACAGAGTGGGTGTTATCAGATCAGACCGATTGGGGGAAACAAGGAGATACAAGGGGGGGTGGGCATTCCTGAAATGCTCCTTCTTCATTCCTAAAATCCCATTAGTCTCTGCGGGTCAAGCAGCCACGTCTGACGTTTGTTACGAAACAGCTTGTCCGTGTTCCGCCTGGATCTTTCAAAAGCCATTCATCCTTCTTCGACTCCCTGACCCTTTTGTCCGGATGAGCCCCACATACTTCTAGCCAAGGGGGCAGAGAGAGGGGGCGGGAGGAGGGTGCTGCTGACCTGGAGACACCTTTGCAGCTGGATCCGGCCTGGTTTTAGGCACAGCCGTTGTAAGAAGACTCTCCCCGCACCAAATGGGGCGAACACCCGTCCTTCGCCCTGTTTTTTTGTTTTTTTAAAAAAACCCTTCCAGTTTCTCTCCGCCCCCCGCTTTTGCTATTGCTTCATCTTTAGTCTTTTTTGGACTTATCTGTCTTCGGTCTTCCTCTCTTCTGTCTCTGGCTGGTTACTCGCTGCAGATATTAGCCGGCAGCGATTCTCTGTGACGACCTGCCAGAGAGTCCTTAAAAAAAAAAGGAAAGGAAAAAATACGAGCCCTTCGTGAGCAATCTCCGAGTTGACTTTACAGTTTTCGCTGCTTTGGTGAAAGGTGATTCCCTCTGCAGGAGTTTGAGAGCGGTCCTCCTCTCCCACTCGGTCACAACGTTTTGGCCAGCAAGCTATAAAGATGGGCAGCGATAAAAGCCAGGAGAAATAACTATTCATTTCAGTTAAATTCCCTTAGTGCCCCAAGGAAACCTTGACCCCCTACCCTCAAATTCATGCCCCCTGAATTATGCCGCCTGCATGTAGGATGCTGATGCAGTCCTTACCTCGAAAAACTCAAGACTGCACGTTAGCATATGGTCGCAGAACAGAGTCAGAGGTGATCATCAAGTGCTGAAGGCTGGGGAAACAGACCAACAAACCCATCGCTTTATTATTCCGATGGCAGTCGGTATTCCACGACAGTCATTTTGCTGGCCTTTCAAGTAGAATACCCGGATTCCTCGCACGTTTACGCCGGAGTAAGCCCTACACATTTCTAGGGGACTTGCCTCCTAGCGTTTGGAAGAACCTGAGATAGGAAGATCGGTTAGCTTGCCTAGAATAAATTAAATCGGCACAGTTTGGAGATTTGGATGGGAAGGTGAGTGTGTATGAGGCACACCTAACCAGTGTTGTTTTATTGGCAATGCGAGCAATCCAGACCCGTGGAAAGTTTATGTACCGTTGAAATTAATGGGATTTGCACACATCCTCCAGTAAGTGGAAAGGCATGTCATTCAAATCAATAGCACATGGTGCCTTCAGGATCCTTGCGTCCAGAGCCTATGGATGTACTTAAGTGTCACTGAGCTGAATAGGATGTAGGCTTGCTTTGCAGTGCTTTGAGTAGCACCTCTTTGGTCGTATCATAAGATACAAAAGGTACCGGGAAGAGGCTGGGATTTAAACGCGCTTTGCTGGATCCAGTCTCAGATCTGAAGCATGAGCACACTCGGAGCTCACTTCAGTTGACAGCCCGGATACTTACTTCCAGGTAAATGCGCGGTCGAGGCCAACGCATCCATCCCTTAGCATTCATTGGAGGATCTACATAACAAATGTTAACAATCTGAAAGTCATTTACCAAAGATACCTCCAAAAGATTCCCAGGAACTGCACTGCTGCAGGTGCTATGAACTTCTCCAAATAGCATCGTTTCTAAGGACCCCTTAGTTTGAGGAATTAACTTTAAAGAGGTTTGAAAATGGTTTAAATCTGCAATGTAACTCTATGCGACTTTGTTCAAATTAATACACCGGTCGACGGATAGCAGAAATTAATAATGTCTTGAGGCCTATCTAAATATATGTAATCTGTATGTATAAACACACCCACCCACACCATCAGGCAACCTTTGTATTAGACTATGCAAATATTGTAACGATAGTTTCACCATACAATACTTACCGCCCATTGAGTGATTGTCATGGGAAAAACCTAGTAATAATGTTGCGGATAAGGTGCATGTTAAGCGGATTGGGTGGGGAATCGGGTTTTCTCTTCAGTTAAGGATATAGATTCTGGACCAAATATCACTGCTTGTGCTCCTGATCGAACAGATCTGGGTTGAAATCGAGGTCTGGTCAATACTGAACTAGTCACATGGACCACCGGTCATCTAGCACTGCTGAACTCTTTAAAAACCCTTATTCTGTCCACTAAATTATTTGCCTTCTCTTATGAATTAAGCAACTCCATTGGACTGAGACACCATATCGATTTCTGGGCAGGGTCACGCCAAGGGCAAGTGGCGTCCAGCTGGGATTTGGGACGAGTGTGGTAACAAGAGAGGGTCAGTTTGGGGCAGCCCCAAAAGGCCTACTTCGCTATCATACACATGGACCACCACTCCGAATTAGGAGCAGTTGACTGACTCCACTGAAAGTTCTGTCTGCAGTGTTTGATATGTTGTGGCTCCTTCACTCACGCGGGTATCCTATTGATGCTGCAGTTTCGTCAGCCGATGAGCTGTGAGTTAGCTCAAGGGGGTTGGGGTTATAAAGTAGCTTCAGATTTCTGGTGGGGTAGGAAGCTCTTTGGAGTGGCCTTGGGCAAGTCTTCACTTTGAGTTTTAGTTTAATCAATTGCACAGCTTAAGGCAAAGTATATGGTCGGCCCCTTTGATCCTCATACCAATCTAATCAGGTAGGTTAGGCTGACACAAGCTCACTCAATAAGCTTTCGAAAAGGACGAGTCTTGTAAATTTTGTGGCTGTGCGAGGATTTGAACCCAAGTCTCCCCGAGTAGAGCTTCAGTTGTGTCACGCACAACTACCTCACCGAAGAACAAGATCCCGCTTCTTTTTTTAGACAGCGATTTCCCTTGTTAGGGGTTGTCTACCTTTAATCCCACGACTTCTTGGGGGGGGGGTGTCAAATGCGTTTAAAACCAACCGGCGATTCATTGAAAAGTGGTACAAAGTCGAAAAGGATCTGTCAAACCCTGGACTCTATTGTAACCAAAGCACCAGCCCATGCTTTCTAAGAATTTTCAAAAGTGATAGGAGGTCTGTGTGTGTTGAGATAGATTGCAGATCTCCACGTTGCAATGACTACAACTGTAAAAATTTGCTTTGGCCAGGAAAGTGCAGATTACTCCACCTCCTTCCCTCACCCTGTTAAAGACTTGAGGGATGCTAGAAAAAGAAGAAAAGAGGGGCGGAGGTTGTGTGGAGACAGGCGGAGACCACACTGATGTCTGGCATCCGACCTTGATTTCACAATAGATTGTAATATTGACTAAAAAATGGCGTTCTCTGTCAATTTTTCTCCTTTATTCAACATAGAGCAGGATGTTAGCAACGTTAACTTAACATTCCTTATTTTTACAGATAACCTGGCCTGAATTCTTTATTTAGTTTATCCTTTCCCCACTCCACTCTGAGATCCATAAACTTGCAAGTCTTTCACTATATCAGATGCCAACAAGAAAAGGGACGTGAGTTACCAAAGCACCCAGAAAGCTCAAATAACTGCAAAAAGATAACCCATAAACTGTTCTGAGGAGTGGGGAGGGGGCGAAAGAGAAGCCGAGTCTCTGAAGTCCAGCCAACCCTATACCATAAAATAATGCATACGTTATTAAAGATCAGGGGACTGAAGTTCTAGTTTCACTCAAATAGGAGTAAATTCATTGCAAGCCGTGCTACACACTAAGCTATATGCATTTACCTGGAAGACAGGATTGCGCTGTAAGGGACAGAGACAGACAATGATTATTCTAGATATATTTAGAAAGTGGACTGTACAGAAAATACTGTGATCTTCTACCTATAGCATTGCTGCTGTTTTCCGGATTGCCCGGCCTCAGCCCTGGAGCATACGAATATGCCTCTCAGCCCTAGAGCCGGAGCAAGTGCAGAACGCCCATCTTTCATTGGTCAGTAGCCAACTGCACTCCCTCACAAATATGGATGTTAATATTAGCCATGGATTTATTTATTTTTGTACTCCTCCACGCTGCAAATCCATGGCTGATAACTTTGAGCTTCTGAACTTCTCCGGTTGGGGTGTTGGAGGAAAGAAATCCCTGCTTAAACGTTTTCGGAACTCCCATGTTCTCAGTAGGTTGAGGCTGAGCTCCACCCACTAACCTCCGGAAGGAACCCCAAAGCCAAAAGCTTTTTTAAGGAAAGAAAAAGGGGGAGGTGGTTGGTGGAGCTGGCAGACGAGTTTCACCTGAGGGCTACGTTCCAGACTGATGAATTCTCGTCTGGAGAGGCCACAATTTTCTTTCGTCAGAATCTCGCAAGCCTGTGTAGGCAGGGAAGGACGGGGGAGGCGCTAGGAGCCACCCCTCCTCCAAACAGCACGATGTACTTCAGTGGAGCTCTTTGATTGATTGTATCTACATTTGGGGCATCAATAACACCAGCAAAGGCTTGCCCTTCATTGGAAGCCCCTGTCCTTTCTACCAGGGATGCGATTTTAGAGTAGGGCGGATGGGGACAGGACCCAGGAAGGACCAACGGCTCTTGGATGCATCCAAGACGAAGGAGCATGAATGCTGCGATACAACCATATGTGTTCACAAAGAGGTATTAGGAGCCGTTGTCATTTGAGTCACTTCATTGTTTTAACTATAGGTCATAAAAAATAGAACATAAGTGTTGGATAAAGGTGGTCTCTCCCTCCCCCCCCTCTCTTTCATACACACACACACACACACACACACACAGGCTTATTTTTCCTACGGGAGAAAATATAGGTTAACACAACGACGAGTCTTGAAGCAACTTACAGGACTAGCAAATTTATCATGGCAAAGCTTTCGTGCACGATCTATGCTATCGGATGCAAGGTGCCGCAGCAGGCTAACATGGCTACCTCTTCGTGGAGTGAGGGGTGGGGGGTGGGGAATGTGTTTTTCAAGAATAATCATACGTGGCCTGAATTACGGGTCAGAGTAGAGGGGGGCGCCGGGAAGGACGATCATCACTTTCCTTAAATGGCGCCTCTACTTGCTGTCCTTTTGTGTCCATTCTCCACCCCTGAGCATTGCGGAATAGGGTTTTGATTACTAAGGCCTGCCGATTTGTGGTAGGACAAAGGTTGGGAATGAACGACGCCTTGGAGCAAGGGCAGCACAAGACGACACTTAACAGTGCTGCAACCTTTCTTGGAGGCATGCATTCAAAACAGTTCCTTCCTTCGCTCCAAATTTTAGCAAGACTTCATTCTTTCTCTTTAGTTTGGGCTGCTGAGCTGTCACTAGTAAAAGCTCCGGTCAGTCTCCTTAAATGTTATCCTTCAGGTCAGTTGTACTGCAGCCACACACACACACACACACACACACACACACACGTCTGTGGCTTTGTCTATCTGAATTCGTTAAGTGAGGGCACTCAGAGGTCACTGGCTAGTGGAGCCGCTTCTCTCCTCTCACCGCGCCGCCCTTTTCTCCATTGCTCCCCTAAACGATTCAGTTTTCACCAATGGAAACTCTTCATTATGGACTGACCCTGCAGCCTGGCTGC